AACCCTAACCCTAACCCTAACCCTAACCCTAACCCTAACCCTAACCCTAACCCTATAAGACTTATATTATTCTATAGGCCTACTTTCTCTCTTTCTAATAATATATATATTAATATAGTTTAGCTTCTATTCTAGCTATTAGAAGAGTTATAAAACCCGTACTCTTTTTAGTTTTAATTAGTTTAAGTAAGTCTAATTAATTAGAATAAAGTTCTTATTATATAGTTATAATTAGGTAGCTTATTTACTTATCTAGCTTATTTACTTATTATATATATTACTTTATTAGGATTACTATTCTAAGGAACCCCTTAATATTAGTTTAATAGTTAGAATAGAGCTAATAATAAGTAAAAAGTTAATTTAATTTAATAGAGTTCTTATTAACTCTATAGATTTTTAATTAAAGCCCTATATAAACTTAGCTTATAGCCAGCTTATAGTATACCCTGACCTTAAATCCAGTGCCACATTGCAACGATATCTTGTTTAATAAGAGGGCGAGCCCTTCGCATAGATACGGAACACTCCTACGATCTAGAAGTATCAAATGACGGTGCGGGTTCGTAATGGATGTCCCTTTCTTCAAATGCAGTAGACCTCCAGAGTCCCAATAGCGACAGTGCCGGATGGGATAGCGAGACCGCTTCCAATCTATCGAGCCATTTCGGAAACGGAAGAACAATATACTCTTGCTTACCAAGGTTTGCTTCCTCTTCCATGATCCATAGCAACAAATCGCCCCAGCTCACCGATGTATCGGGGTTAAGAATGTGGTAGACTGCTGGTTGCAGACCTCTCGTGGATGTGGCTTCAGGTGTTGTGTCTTTCAAGGCAATATCCAGGATCCCTCTCGTAGCCAGCTGCACAGGCAACCATGTCAGTGCCTCACCTCTTCTCATGTCAGGCAAAGCTTTCATTAGGATCGCTGCAGAAAAGAGAAGAGGGAATGCTTCCTTCATATTCCACACGCCATTTTGGTCACCACACAATTGCCCCACTCGGATAATTGATATTGAAGCTGACAAGGGGCCATGGGCTTCATGGAGTTGATGGTGAGCTGACGCGCAAAGCTGCTCAGCTACCCACTTCGAAGCAGAATAGCCTAAAGGCGAGGCTACCTCCGGGTCATCGTATACCCTTTCCTTGATTGGAACCTCCTTAGACAATGCTACTGATGCAGCAGAGCTCACAAAGACGAACCTAGCATTGGCTTGTACAGCTAGCTGAAGCAATCTTTGGGTTCCTGCAAGCTGGCCCTCGAAAGCTTCCAACGGGACGTTGAAGTTGACTGTCCATGATGCGTGGATGAAGATTGTGGCATCTCGGGAAATCTCTTCGATTGTTGACGTTGACAGAGTTGATTGACAGCTATCTGCATCGTAAGGCAGGCATATGATCTGACACGAGGTGTTGAGTGGTTCCAAAGATTTTCCATAACGGCTCAGTATTGATCGTGATATGCGTGCTCTTGCTTCTTCCTCTGTCGTGGCTCGGACGAGACAGTAGATCTTGTCGACATCCTTTCTCTGGCTGAGATGTTTCAGTATACAACTTCCAAGGAAGCCAGTTCCACCAGTAAGCACAACGTTACAGGGCTTTTCTTTCCATTGTGTCCGTGGCCTTGCAGAACCAGGCAGGACTTGGTACTTTTGTACCAGATGCCGCATGTAGGCATGCTGCTGTTGTGACTGCGTATCGATGCGATTTGTCTGTCCATGGCCATTTCGAACACGGCGCAGGTAGGATACGAGCCCTGCAATGGTTCTTTGGTCATATACAACGTTGAGCGGAAGGATAAAATCGAACTGTATCAATTGCGAGGACTGTAAGGCCTTCCGAATCTGAAGACAGGTCATGGAGTTGATGCCCTGACGAAAGAGATCGGCGTCGGGGTCGATATCGCGACCAACAACCCGAGACACACATCGCATAGTGGCCAGAGATAGATCGGAATCTTTCACAATATGAGAGCTTTTACGGTCGTAGTCTTTCAGTTCGTAGGCAGACTCTATGGTCGCATTATACCTCTTCTCGGCTTGCTGTCGTAAAGTCGTTCCCTTACTGCTCTTTTCTAGTGTAACTTCATCTTGGCCGAGATGGATCACGACTATCATTGACAGGGCAATCTGACCATGGATGGGAAGCGTGGAGTTGACTCTTTCAATCTCTGGCCACACGTCGGCAATAATTTGGTTCTTTGGAGCAAGGCTTCTGTAAGGAAATATCAATATACCAGGCTGTGGACGTCCATCGCCGAAGATATAGACGTCCCGCAGCTGTGGTAGACTCGCCAAGATGTCAAGTTCCGTTGTTGATGGGTCGAACTTTTTGACGTTAGATAGAACTACCTGAGCGTCCAATCTGCTGTGATACATCCAGGTATCGGGGAGAGACTTATGGGGTGAAAACAAATCAGATGTGGCGTACGAGCCGTCGTCCAAGTTTGTCTTAGCTTTGGAGGGCCAGGTAGGCTTAATCACAAGCTCCGCTAGGTCATCGTACCGGCCTTCAAACTTGACAAACTCCTTGGCATCATCAAACCGTAGGTATTGCCATTCTTTGTCGAAAGGATAGTCTCGATGTGATGAGGCCAGGAATCCGCACTCGGCGCTGCCAAAACGAGACAAAAGGTTAACACCTTCTGCAACGAGTCTGTCGCCAATAACGGTCGCCAGAGCGGCACCGCCCACGCCGACGAGCTTCATACTTTGTAGCATTCGAATGCCGCAGTCTTCTTCTGCCAGCATTTGCAACACGTACGGAACCGAAGAAAAGTACTGGATAGGAACTGTGCAGGATTTACGACAAGCGCCAATCGAACGCACAATATTTCCAGCTGTCACGGGGAGCTCAGCTTCGGGGAATAACCAGAGCATCGCGCCGCTACTCCAGCATCGGAGACAGTCGATGAGCCCACCATGATACAGAGGTGTAGTGGAGAAGGTGGCCGGCTGACTTGCAGTGTCTAGACGAGGCAAGGCACTCACAATACTGCTTGCTTGTGGTATGGGCTTTGGCAATCCCGTTGATGTACCCGATGTATGGAAGTAGAATGGTGGGTCGCGATCCCCGAGTTCAGTCTCCAGATCCGACCCTTCGGCGTGGAGTTGGGCCTCTGAGAGCATCGAAAATCGTGGTATCTTCATTACCTGAACATTGACTCCGAGCTTGAAGCTTATCGAAGTGTGGGGTGTGTTTACTAGTATGCAATTGATGTCTAATTCCTTGCAAAGATGTTCGATGGACTGCGAGTTTGACTGTGGCCTACAAGCTGTTAAGAATTGTGAATAGTTCGATTCCGCACGATCAAGCTTACGCCAAAAGCAGCACACTGTATCCAAGACGAATTAAGCCTGCCCAGACTGCCACGAAGTTCAGATCGCTAGTAGACAGTAGCGCGACTGTTCGGTTGCACGAGCTCAGAAGTGGCCGCAATGCCCGGGCTGCGAGGACCGAGCGATCACGTAAATGGCGAAAGGTTATGAGGCGAGAACCTATCTGAGCTCAGCTGATTGCCACCTGACCTCCAGATTGATCTGGCCCGTACAGAGGGGAGATTACCGTGGGTGTTCTCCGTTTCTTCAGTGCATGCAGCAAGCCCTAGAGCTGGCACGTCGGGAAAGTTGCTGGCTTGTTCGTCAATCATATCAGTGATTGTTGTGAAAGACGGAAGAGACTGAGCATCTTGCTTAAGCAAGTAGGACTGCCCAAGGGTGCAAGTGAAGTAGTTTGGCGCCGGATGATACATGTTGGTTGAATTTGGAGATATTTTCGACAGCGCGGGGATGGCGAGAACTAGAAAGAATGTTGTTTTAGGAAGCCGCGATGAGATTCAGGCTTTCGACACAATCTCTCCAGGAAATTTGCATCATGACTTGGCTGTTGGTGTTGGTTGCATGCGCTTAAGAGGATGACGGATCAAGGCTGCAATACACGCGTCATGACTGCATGCATCTGACCGCTGAGCGCTATGATGCATGTCGGCCCAACTTGGACGTGTTGTTCAACTCATTTATACGCGTCATGGATTTAGTAGCATCTGCTGTTAATTTTACACCACATCCCAATCTTATTTCCTGGGCAATTACTTTCCTCTACCTACGATTGAGACATTTTCCCTATACTGTGTGGGAAGACAATTTTTGCCCGAAAGTCATATAGCTTGTTCTAAACGCCAGCCCTCACAGCGCACTCCCCAACACATGCCGATCATGCCGACAACAGAGGCTGTCACCCTTCTGAGCGGGAAGATGATGCCGCAACTTGGATTCGGCGTTTATCTCTCTCCTCCCGAAGTATGCACACGATCGTGTTTGAAGGCTCTTGATATCGGCTATCGCCATATTGACACTGCCCAATATTATGGAAACGAGAGAGAGGTTGGGCGTGCGGTGCAGCAGTCCGGCATTCCTCGCTCAATGCTGTTTCTGACCACCAAGATTCTCACAGCCGGTCCCTCCTTTGACGAGAGCTACCGTAAATGTGTGGAGAGCATTTCGAATCTTGACCCGAATGAAGGATACGTGGATCTGTTTCTGATACACAGTCCAAACTGCGGGGAGTCCCAAAGACAAACTCTGTGGCAGGTCCTCGAGAGACTTCATACGGAAGGCAAGGCAAAGAGTATAGGTGTCAGCAATTTTGGCATCCAGCACATCGAGGGTCTTAAAAAGACCGCGAAGATTTGGCCGCCGCAAGTCAATCAAATCGAGGTGAATTTACTATGTGTTCCCTCGATGTATGGCATAACGCTAAAGCCGTGACAGCTACATCCTTGGCTTCAGCAAAAAGAAATTGTGTCCTATTGCAACGACCATGGTATCACTGTTCAAGCATATTGCCCCTTGGCAAGAGGCCAGAGATTTGATGATGTCACCTTGCAACGTGTCGCCGAGAAGCACGATGTTGCACCAGGTCAGATTTTAATCAAATACAGCTTGCAGAAAGGCTGGGTACCTCTTCCCAAAAGCGACAATCCAGCCAGGATTGAGGCAAACTTCACTGTCCAGTTCACACTCGATAATGATGATATGGTTGGACTGGATGGCCTTGATCAAGGTCGAGCGGGTGCTCTTGTTCAGGCCGTTGATAACTGAACCTGGGTCGTCAGCAGATGGACCGGATGAAATGGGTTATTTATCTTCATGCACAGCAATTACATTTTGGAGTTTTTGACCTGGGAGCCTTGAATGCTGATATTGAGTGAGGTCACACGGAAGATGTTAATAATGAGGCTCCAATAACTATGACAGTGCGATATGAAGGGTTGGCTGATCATCATTCTCAGACTATATATTATGTGCGGAAATTTGTCCTTTTTTGTACGCACGCAGCTCAGGGTGGCGATCTGCCTAGTCTAGATCTTTTATCCTAAGAATGTCTACAACCTCTGCACCCGGACGCAAGATATCACACATCATGTTACTCGTTGCTATGCCACTCCCCGAATGGGAAAAGGTTCAACAAAGTGTATGTGGGAAAATACATATATTTTATGATGGAGAATCAAGCCATTAGGCCATGTCAAGAAGAGCCACCATCTACGACCTTGATTGCCTGTCTCTGATCAATCAAGCCGTCCATAGCTGTTCCATGATTAGATCCATCAGATGACAGATTGCCATTGCCATTCAACTTTTGTTCATTTGCCACGAAGTCGACAGCAGCAGGCGCACGGCCATTCGACAACGTTGTCGTCTCTCCTTGAACAGTATATCCGGTGTCACTGGCGTCCACGAAAGCGTCAATACCCGCACCTCGCCGGGCAAACTTATTCATCAGGGCCTTGTGACTTTCAAGTGCAGCTGCCAGTTCTTCCTTCGAAACATCGTTAAGGAAGACGCAGGTTCCCATGGGGGTTACAGGTACAGCGGCGCGAAGCTTGCCGTCTCGGGTCTTGAGGATGGCAGCTGTAGCTTTTTCAAGTACGGCGGTGTCGAACTGAGGATGATCCATTGACAGCCCCGCTCGAGAGAAGAGCATCAGCAGTCTCATGTGCTCCTCGGCAGTAATAAGCCCTCGTAAACGAGAAAGAGTTGCCGAGTAGGCCATATCGATGGAGATGGCGTGGCCATGGCGTAGAGGCGGCTCGGGTACAAGCTCGTGCAACGGGGACCAACTGCTGAGGTGTTAGGTTGAACGTCGAACAAGAGACATAAGAAGCTTAGCTGACGTGTGACCATATGCAATAACTCGGTCGAGCATGATCTCGTGAAGGTTGGGGGACTCAAGTTTCAACATTTCGAAAATGCCAGCACGACAGATCTTATCGGCGGTGGCAATGAGCTCTATCGAGGCGCCATCTGCTCGTCCAAAGCCTGTGTTGATGAGATCTTCGCAATGCTTCTCTAGCAAGTCATACGTATCCTTGTGAGCACAAGATGAGATCTTAATGAGCTCGGCAAATCCATTGCGAATCTGTGAGATGGGCAGCGTGCGGAGGAAAGTAAAGTCGAGGAACGTGTGCATGGGAGCGTGGTATGCTCCCAACCTGTTCTTGTATTGTCCGTAATTGACAGCTACTTTAATGCTGACGGAAGCATCAATGAGGCCAATGACAGTGGTAGGAATGCGAATGTAGTTTGTGTTCCGTCGGTATGCTGCGCATGCAAAGCTGGCAGCAAAGGTCAGTAATCACACAGGTTGGAAAGCATAGCGCTGCGTGCTCACCCGGCCACATCAGTCACGAGGCCACCTCCGACGACCAGTACAGGTTCCTTTCTATAGATCCCGAAGTCGGTCATGGTGTCCACGATGGCAAGAAGCGTTTCCATATTCTTGGCCTTCTCGCCAATCATGGTCTTGTGAATCCTAAGCTCGAGACCGTGGTGGGCGAAGTAGCGTTCGATGCGTTCGCCATACAATGTGTAAATGTTGTGGTCCATAACGGCGAGGCATCGATTCCAAACCCGGTAGCAGTTTGCGAGATTACCGTTTGCCGTGTCGAAAACACCGTCAAGAAACTCAAAATCATACTCAATCTTTTCGTAGCCACAGACCTGGAAGCCATTGGCGTTCTCCGTGACTGACGCATTCATATCCGACATTGTGGCGGTACACTGTAGCAGCTGTAGATTGTTTTTTTGTAGGGCTGAGAGATTTATCCCGGGAAAGGAGCACGATTGATCAGGCTTTATATAGGCGCTGTCGCTGTAACTAACCCTGCTCATGTCATCGACTATCTTTACACTGAAGCTAGACAATGATGCATCATGATCTTAACAAGTATGAATCCCAATGAGTCACTACAAATGCAAGGGCGACTAAAGCGAAACTCAATAAATTCCACATCGTTGGCACAAAAAAAAACTCCCTAGTAGATCGGGTGCAAGCTCGAATCCTTAGGGTAGCGTGTACAGCCCATCTGGTACCTGAAGGCACACCCGCGATGGTGTGGTTATTGGTGCAACCCCGCAGTAGATCTGCATTCAGCTCGCTCAAGTTATACGGGGAGTCTCGCGGTGTATGCAATTGTGACATCACCCCAACTCTGGGCATGGGACGCTTGCGGCAGTTGATTCGATGGAACTCCGACCAGACTGTCTAGATCGATCTTCCCGCATCTTTGACCCGCAGCCTTGCCGAAGTAGGAGCAGAATATGATCTTGATGAATCATCGCGCGTTAAGGTGAACGTGCTTATTGCCCATGGATATGTTTTGCCCATGTTGGACGGATGCAAATCTGCATGTATACGCGTCATCGAATTTGTAAAATCACAATGTTTTCTGCAATTCGCATCGGCGGTGAAGGGAATTCCCATTATTTTCTGGATTGATTGGGTTGTTTTCTTTTCGTCCTTTTCGTATTGAATCGAAACCTCGTCTCGCATCTCATTCTCCTGATTTGAGTATTTTGGCCTTGTTCGCGTAATCACTTGGTTTTCGAGAAATCATACTACTTACAATTTGCGACTTCTCAGCCGAAAGGATGGCCGTTTTCGATTCCTCCAAGGCTTATGCCGAGCAAGAGGAAATATATTTCAACGATGGACGCGAGGTCGAGCTCCAGCGCTACGTGTGTTCTCACCCTAGTCTCGAGAGATTGAAAGGATCGCCTCAGGAGGTTCTGGCAGCCATCGACGAATTTGGCAGGCAGCGTAAGTATCTTATGAACATTGGGTCTGAGAAAGGCGCCATCGTTGCCGACTTGATCGCCAGCCTGAAGCCGAAAATAATGGTAAGCGAAGCCGATATTGAATTCTGATGCACATTAATGGTCACTAACTGCGACACTGCAATAGGTTGAGCTGGGAGGCTATGTAGGCTATTCGGCAGTCTTATTTGCCGATGCCATGCGTAATGCAGGTGGGGAGCGTTTCATTTGCATCGAGAAGAATCCCGATTTTGCCGCTGTCGCAAGGTCCATGGTCGAGCTGGCAGGATTGAGCTCCATCGTGGAAATCCATGTTGGCTCGGCAGATGTTACTCTCAAGCGACTGCATTCCAGTGGCAACTTGGAATCCATCGATCTCTTATTTCTGGACCACATCAAGCCAGCGTACCTCCCGGATTTGAAGACCTGCGAAAGCTTGCGTTTGGTCCGCCCTGGCAGCGTACTGGCCGCGGACAACGTCATCAAGCCAGGCAACCCGCCATACCTAGAGTATGTGAGGAGCACAGTGGAAGACAAGCAACAAGCGGCGCGCAACAGCACGATGGAGAACGCTGCAGCACGTGGTGATCCTAGTCTTATATACCAGAGCGAGCTCATCCATAGCTTTGAGCCTACTGGGATACCTGTGAGTCTGTTTTACCTTATACTATGGAAACTGGCTCATTTGCGGACTTTTAGGATGGTGTGGAGATAACCAAATGTGTTGGGAAAGACACGTCGTGAGCGTGAAAGCATGAAAGCGGGAAAGCGTGAAAGCGGGATTGATAAGCGATTAGGAAGTTAATCAATCGGATAAACAACCCATGTGCCAAAATGTTGCCAAGATCACAAATGCGCATGCAGTTGACCAAGGTGCAGAGCATTGCCTAGAGTTGCGAACGCTACATGTCTATGACGCGCACTTCCCCTCTCTGGAAAAGAAATTTTAGGCTCTGTGGCCGTTATTACCTGGGCCAAGTACAGGCGTTCCTTCAGATGGTGCCACTCTCACATTCTACCTCATCCTCCAGTAAACAGTGCATCGTCAATGGGTCTTCATCACAAATCAGTGACGCCAATGATCCGGCACGTCATTAAGAACATATCCCTCCTCTGCCTGAGCCTAACGTTCCTGCCATTCACCAGTCTTGTCGTTCTGGTGTGCCAGGTGTACACGATTTTGTCAACATGGCTGAACCCAAAACGTGGGGCGCCAGAAGTCGCCAAGACCATCCTGGTAACTGGTGTCAACATGAATAAAGGCCTCTCGACGGCTAGATTATTTCACAGTCAGGGCCATCGAGTCGTAGGGGCAGACACGCACCGACTGTCACCGGCACGGGTTTCCGTGGCTCTTAGCCAGTTTTATGTCCTTCCCGAGCCGTGCGACACGGAGCTTGAGCCTCTCAGCGCTCACACGACGGCGTACGTAACCTCGCTCTTGCAGATCATCACAGCAGAGAAGGTCGATCTCTGGGTATCAGTGTCAGACGTCAACGCGGCCATACAAGATGCACAGGCTCAGCAGCTTATTGAGACCTGTACCAATACGAGGGTTATTCAATTGCAAGAGACCCAAGTCAAAATGCTGCACAACAAGGCGTTGTTTATGAACCATGTTCATTCAATCGGTCTCAGGGCTCCGGAAACGAAAACTGTCTCAAGCGCTGCAGAGCTTGTCGAGTTTCTATCAGCTCGAGGCGGCTTGTCACTCAGCATATCCGGCGGTACGCAATACCTGGTCAAACCGGTTGATGTCAACGACATTGCTCGCTTCGACATGGCTTTGGTGCCCCGGGATATCGAGCAAGACACAATACAGGCGATCAACACGATCCCATTCAAGAATGGAAATCGGGTTCCGTCTTTCCAAGTCCAAGAATACATTCAGGGCAGGGAGTACTGCACACATGCTCTAGTGATTCGAGGCCAAATTCGTGCCTTCGTTGCTTGTCCTTCTGCAAGCGTCCTGATGCACTACTCGGCACTATCACCATCCTCACATCTCAGCCAGAAAATGCTGCACTTCACGAGATCGATCATTGAGAAGGACTCCACGGATTGGACGGGGCACTTGAGCTTCGACTTCATCGTCAGGTCGAAAGCCAGCAGCAACCTAGAGGAAGACCAGCATGCGGAGATTTACCCGATAGAGTGCAATCCAAGGGTACACACGGCCGTTGTGCTCTTCAACGAAACACCAGGACTGGTAGAAGATTATCTAAGTGTACTGGAGCCAGATGTGGCTCACCAGCCGGTGGAGCCTCGGTATCCTAGAACTTATCGAAAGTACTATTGGTTGGGCCAGGACTTGGTCGAGCTGGCTATCTTGCCCACCATTCGAGCACTACTCATGCCCAACGGCGGTGATACCTCAATTCAGCAGTCGTGGTGCAAGTTTTGGCATCACCTTTGCCACTGGAAGGATGCAACCTTCGAGGTAAGTGACCCGTGGCCATTTTGGTGGCTCTATCACGTCTACTGGCCCGTCCAGTTTGCCTGGTCTTTGAGAACAGCACGTTGGCAAATGATCAACGCCAGCACCGGCAAAGTATTCAAGGCGGCATAACCTTCAGGCTTTCATCGAACTCCGTCTGCTCAACCGGTATCGATGTCCAGCGCATCAACGTCCTGCGCCCCGGCTTCAGACGGCTTGGAGGGCAAACCTGTGCATGGTTCTGACACCTTGTTCAGCCTTTTCGGTAGCGAGGCGACTGTTGGAGTGCCTCTTTCCGCACAGCGGTTGTGTGAATCATCAAGAACGTCGCGCGTTCCGAGACCGGGGCGCTGACTTGGGGTGGGGTGTTGTTACGTCAGTCGTTCGACAACCCGATTCACCGTTCATGAACATTGGGTTCGGCGCATTCGACTGGACCTGGGCCTGGGAACAGGGCCCGCCGGTGGGTAATATGCCGCTATTTGGACCTCAATGACAATGTCAAGGTTGCTTGACGAGACGAGACACTTTCTGAATGTGCCACGTGATGTGGCCTGGAACATGGTGGCAATTTGCATTTGGCATGTCACGAGTCACGACAGCACATGGAAACCAAGTTGTCCATCAGCTGTCCCGACCCAATGGCAACGACCCACTTGACAGGCAAGCAAAAGTCACGAAAGAGATCTCGCCCTACCTGAATGGTACTACCTGTAAGACCATAATAAGCGGGCTGTGTCAGCTCAGTAGGCTGCATACAAGGTCGTTGCCGGCCGTGCCGAGCCAGCACATGTTGTACCGATCAAGTGCCCGCACGCCAAGGCAATACGCCAAGGGTGAAATCGCCGTCGGCAAGATTCGACGCGTGCGAGGTGGCCCGAAAGCGCGTCCATCGCCGCCACATGCAGCCTGTTCGCTGATTAAAGGCGCGGACCGAGCTTGGCAGGCAGAGCCGAGCAGATGGGTGTTGGTGCGGGCCTAGGCGAGGGCCGGGACCAAAGACCTCCCATCTTCCAAAGGAGCGATTTGGCAACAACTGAGGGCTTGATTGTAAGTATTCGAGAGCCATTATGCAGCAGTTCGTAAACCTTCTATGTCTGTTGATGCGATATGCTGGATGAGCAGAGGTGGCCGGCTGCGACGATTAGACTGCAAGTGCAATTGGTGGTCCACGCTACGAACGTGACAGCCCATCGGACGAACGAGTGCCGACAGACAACTGATGACCCGGCGCGAAGCATTATGCCATGCCGCCAATCCAGGCCTGGCAATCTCGCCGTGCTGCAATAAGGTTAATTGAGTCTTGGCGTATGAGATGAAGGTTGTCTCGGGTGGATTGCTCGCCTGCAACTGTGATGGGCCATCGATTGAAACAGGCAACGTGCCGGGGCTGTGCCACAGGTCCGCGGTGGGGCCATGCCAATCACGACTGGAAGTCAAACAGCAGTTTATGAAGGCCAACGCCTACTGGCCAGTAGTGCCAAGCATGTTGGGTCTTGACTCGGGAGGCTCTGACGCGACGGCCGAGTATGGTGTCAACCAAACCCTAAGCGGCTACCATATCCGGTTTTTCGAAGGAATTGGACCCGAAGCTGGGGCAAAAGTGATTCGTGGGACACCCCCGCGGGGGGACAATGCGGGGAGAAGGAGATGGACTGAAGGGGAGGCTGATTCGTGGACCCCATGGGGGCCATGTGGGAGCGGACGCCCTGGGGATCTGCTCCACATGGCGAACATGTTTATCTTGAAGGCCTTTCCCTCCTGTCAGACTGCCTCTGTTCTTCACCCCTTCACCTCAACTCGCGTCGCCAACCAATACACAAACCGACAACATGTCTGAGAAGGAGCAACCCGGACTCGCCCACGCTGAGAATGGCGTGTACAACCCCGACCTGGCTCTCATCGAGGCCGCACACAAGACGAGTGACGAAGAAGCCAACCTGTCGCGCAAGGAGCTCTTCTCCCGCTACGGGCCAGCCGTCATCTACAGTGGTCTGCTGAGTCTGGCTTTGGTCATGGAAGGTATGGATGTCGGCCTTATCAACAACTTCTTCGCCCATCCTGCCTACCTCAAGAGGTTCGGCTGGCCCAACGAGGCTGGTGAGAACCACATCTCTTCGACCTGGCAGGCGGCTATCGGCAACGGTAACAATGCCGGCACCATTGTCGGCCTTCTCATCAACGGTTGGCTCCAGTCTCGCTTCGGTTCGCGCAAGGTTTACATGGGAGCCATGGTCGCCATGGGCGCCACGATCTTCTGCCTGTTCTTCGCTACGAACGTTGAGATGCTCCTCGCGGGTAACATTCTCTGCGGCATTCCCTGGGGTATCTTCCAGACTCTGACAACTGCCTACGCTGCCGAGATTTGCCCCGCCGCTATCCGTGGATACCTCACTGCCTGGGTTTCCATGTGCTGGGGTGCCGGATCTTTCCTAGCTGCAGGTGTGCTTCGTGGTTCTCTCGACCTGCCAGGAGACGCTGGATGGCGTGTGCCATATGGCCTGCAGTGGATCTGGGTTGTGCCCCTGTTCTTCGTCGGCCTCTTTGCCCCTGAGAGCCCCTGGTACCTGATTCGTCGTGGCCGTGTCGATGAGGCTGAGAAGTCGCTTCGCCGTCTCGCTCGCAAGGGACACTACACCGACCAGACTATGGCCGAGCTTATCGCGTTCATGAAGCACACGAACGAGATGGAGAAGATCGAAGCCGAGGGCGCTAGTTACAAGGACTGCTTCCACGGCACCAACCTACGCCGTACCCTTATTACCTGCATGACCTGGGTTGTCCAGATTCTCAACGGTCAGGCCCTTACCGCTTACGCTGCCGTCTTCCTCCGGGCTGGTGGTATGCCCACTCACCAGTCTTTCAACTTCAGCATGGGAATTCAATCGACCAACATCGTGGGCACTATTATTGCTATTGTTCTGATGGGTCGTATTGGACGTCGTACCTTCTATCTCTACGGTTCCTCGTTCATCGGCCTTTGCATGCTGATTATGGGAATCTTGGGCTTCATCAAGACTAACAACATTCCTATTGCTGTTGCTGTCATCCTGATCTTTGTTCAGCTCACCTTCAAGCTGTCGCTGGGTCCCGCCTGTTACGTCATTGTCGGAGAGATGTGCTCCAGCCGTGTCCGCGCTCAGACTCTTGTCCTCGGCCGCGCCGTCTACGTTACGGGTGTCATTTGTGTCCAGCAACTCAACCCCCGCATGCTCAACAAGGGAGGCGATGCTTGGAACTGGGGAGCTAGGGCTGGTCTCCTCTACTTTGGTCTCTGCTTCATTTGGGCTGTCTGGATCTTCTTCTGCCTGCCCGAGACGAGGAACCGCAGCTTTGCCGATATCGACTACCTCTTCCAGAAGAAGGTGTCTGCCCGAAAGTTCGCCACTACCCCCATCGACAGTAAGTTCAACATGTATCCCATGGCTGCTTGTAACGCTGCTAACATTTTTTTTCCTAGTCTACGACCTTGCTGGTATCGGCCAGACCAACCACAAGCTGGAGGAGGATGACGCTGACGTTGTTGAGGTTCGCGAGGACAAGCGTCAGTAGATTTCTACAGGGGTGGGAGTTTATCGTTAGCGAAACACAGGCAGTGCTCTTGATTCGAAGTGCGGTGGATTAGAACAGTTAATGCATTGTTCAATCATACATTTCCCGCTCAATTCTGTCTGCCATATTTTGCAATTACTTTCGGACATACATGATGCAAGGCCCTAACATTGACGCCTTGACAGTTGGTGGGTTGGATGGGTGGGCTATGTATGTCTGGTGACGAAGTTTTAATACTGTAATTGCTTCCGATCCGAATTCACTTCTCTGATTAGCCTGGACAGCAAAGGAGTTAGAAGACTTGCTTGTGGTCAGGCATCCCTCCCAATCTCTGTTGGCAGCTGATCGGTAGAGGAAAGGGGCCGGGCTGGTGATCGTAATCGCATGAGACCATTGTCTTTGCAGTCATAACACTTACGTCAGGCAGCGGTGTCGGCCTTTGCGAGGCCCACGACATCTGGACGGCAGCCTTGGTAGACCCAATAATCCTCCTGGCTTTCCAGCTCAGTGTGTTGGTTGGAACTGTCGAAGTTTGGGAGCTATAATTCACAGGGCTCTCTACAGCAAAGGTTTTCTTTTGTAACAGGAACTGATTTCTAGATTTGGTTTCATTTAGTCCCTAAGCTTTTATCCTCTCGCTACGTACGTATGCAAAGTCGTGAAATATGCTTAGGCCAGGTTTTACGCCTTGTTCCTACTGTGCTAGAGTCCTAACATAAGCTACGGGACCTTCGTACTGATGCTTGCCGCGCACCAGATAGTAGGCCAGAGAGAACAAGGCAATGACACTGTAGATGAGAATATTCCAATTCATCATGTCGAGAGTGGGGTTTGGTGTTGGCGGCATGAAAGCAAGGACGAAGATGGTAACGAGAAACACAACAGAGGCAATGTTGATAGCTAAACCCCATCGACCGAGGCTGAACTTTGAGGGAAGTAGAGGACTGTTGGTCCAGCGTCTCCAAATCATGCAGCCGATGGAGCAGATATAGCTAGATAGAAGAGAAGTTGTGGCCAAGGATGTGATCGAATTCAGGGCGACGGCAGACCCAATGTTGATGAGCGAGAGGAGACTGGAAATGAGGAAAGTCGTAAAAATGGCGTTCAGGGGAACATCCCAGCCAGCGGGAACACTAGCAAACCAAGGGCTCAGGGGTACGGCGTTATCACGCGCAAAAGCAAACAGCTGGCGCGAGGCAGTGGCCACCATGGTGAGATTGGAGAATATGGCCATAGCGACGACAAAGACGGCCATAGCCGTGGCGCTGCTTGCCGACTGTGTCGAGTTTAGGAAAACCTGCATGAAGGGGTAACCGGTCGGGGTCTCAAGGACCTCGAAAAGGTCGCCAATGCAGAAGCAGTAGGTGATGATCATGATCCATCCTAGTCCACCGTTGATCACGGTAGTCATGATCATGGATCGGGGCAGCGTCCGCCCGGCGTCACGCACCTCCTCCGACATGTGAACGGCGGCATCGGCACCAAGCAGAGGCAAGATACCAGCGGTGATGCCGACGAGAGCAGAGCCACCTAGGCTTCCCCAGCCCCCGCCATCGAAGAATTCAGTGAAGACGGCCTTCGGCTCAGCCCGAGGAGACAGGACCCAAAGCGTTACGAGAATTCCGAAGAAGCCGAAGATATGGATGATGAGCACAAGAGCTTCAATGAGGGGTAGCTTTCTTGCCAAGATCGTGTTGAAGAGGACCGAAAACGCGGCGACAGCAATAGTGAGCAACGTACCATGCCATGGCTGAGGAACGTAATCGGGGTAGTTCAGGACCATTAGCCCTTGGATCTGCGTGCCAGAAATGTATGCCGAGGACGCGCAAGACGTTTGCCAGCCAAGGACGCACATCCACCCCATCAAGTAACTGATGAACTTTTGGTATTGAGGCGGCGCGAATTCGGAAACCCAGTGGTACTGTCCGCCAGTTGTCGGAGCCCTAAGAACTGTGTTAACAAAAACCTTCAAATTTGAGTTGGGCGGCAACAAACATGGAAGCCATTTCAGCCATGGATATATTGACCAACATGAAGCCGGCCCAGCAAATAAAGTACATCCAGATGAGGCCAGCCGTACCTCCGTTGATGAGGCCGATAGTCGAGACACTGTATGACATGTTAGCTACTTTAGGCCTCATGACAGCAATAACCTTACCTCAAAGAGAACTCCCACGATGCCATTAGAATCATGGAGAAGCCAAAGATCGATAGGAAGCGAAAGTTTCTCTACGGTACCCTCATTAGTAGCTGTTAGGCTCGAAGTTCTACCTTTTCTGTTGCTTACGTTCATCTCCTGCTTCTTGCCCATGCGATACATGTCCGCCCGATCATGAGCATTGCCACGCTTCTCGTCGATGCCATCGCCGTCCAGGTCGGCGGCTGAGCCGTAAGCCAGACGATCTTCCTTATCAGCAGACATCGTTTCTTGGATAGAGAAGCAAAAACCGAACTTCTTCAACGAAAGAATGAAACGAATATACAGAGCAGTAGGAGAACCCGGGGAAACCACGACGGCAGGGAAGGGGGAAATGGCCAAAGGTCATGGAGAAGCAGACGGTCGCACTGGGATGAAAGCTGATGTACAGGTCCCCCACGCTCAGTGTACCAGGATCCTGGCTCAAAAAAAACATGCCGGCTTGTTGTGATGGTCACAGTTCTGGCCAGAACTGGGCTGCTGCATGGCGTGTTGGACTCTGGCCAGCGATAGAACCTTTGGTGCTGTGTGGTTGGCGTCCAGCATTGCGCCTTGTGGATGGATAGCGTCGGTAGTGGAGTCCTGAGAAATCCATCTTTGCCCGTTTTGTGAAGCAGCCGAACCACAACAGGGGTCCTGGAACGTCTGCTGCCTGCAGGGGCTGGGCACCCTGGCTTCCAGGTCGACTTCTGGATCGGGTGCTGACACCTTTGTTACGCAAGATGATTCTACTGTCATTTCAGTGTTGCAAAGTTGGTTATTGGAGAACCGGAGCTCGGCGGCCAAGGGTAGTGACTGGATACCATGTATACATGGTACATGGCAAGTCGCCACCTCCCGGCCTCGCGGAACAGCGAGCTACCCTGTCGAGAGACCAAAGTCTAATCGGCGCGTGTCTCGTTGAAAAGCCACGAGATTGGTCCGCCAGTAGAATGGAAGTGGCGTCTCAGTCAGGAGCTCGTTCTTTGGGCCTCATCCCGAGCGACAGGATCGGGCTTCTCAGTACTTGAAGAGACGCATAGCCCAACTCGGCGGACACCTCTGTTACATTGACGTACGCCAGAAGTCCGAACATTTACAATTTCTTTCAGTATAGTATTCGCGGTTGTCGGCCATGGATGGGCCTCGTTTTTCTCCAGTTGCATTTGACGACCATGCGGGCCAACTCTGGATTGTTTCCATCTTGGCCTTGATATACAGCGCGCTTGTGGCGGCTACCAGGGCTTTCATCAAATTTCGCATGTATGGGCTCGATGACCTCTTCATAGCGTCAGCTACAGCATTGCACTTGGGTCAATCAATTGCTGTCTTCGCTGGCCTTAACAATGGACTGAGTAAATTCAACTCCAACACTTCCGAGACCCAATGGACTCTTTCTTCCAAGGTATGATAGCCTATAACATATTATTAAAAATACTAATAGCTGCCGAAACAGGCTTTCCTAGTTTCCGAGGTCCTATGTGTGCTCGCCCTGAGCTTGGCCAAATGTTCTGTCTTAGCTCTCGTGCTTCGTATCATCGGGTCAAAGACGGGGAAGAGCAGATCCATCTGTCTTGGCCTCATGGCCATCAGCGCTTTGTGGGGAGCTGGGGCATGTGCTACCCTGCTGGTCAAATGCCGCCCTGACACACTGTTGACGCTTGAGAATGCCTTATTCTGCCCCAACCAGGTAGGGAACTAACTTGCGATTTCGAATACATGTGCTAATTAATATCTAGAAAGCTCGATGGCTGGCCATCACAGCCCTTGATATGCTTACCGAAATCCTCGGCTGGCTTCTTGTGGTGAAGCTCTGCTGGGCCGTCAATATGTCGTTCGAACGGAAGTGTCAGGTGGTGCTGGCCTTCACATTCCGCCTCCCACTTATTGCACTTTCGGCCTTTCATCTGTCATATTTTGACAAATATTTGGAGTCGGATGAGCCCCAGTTCGGAGTTAACAGTAGTCTGTTGTTCCAACAGACGATGATCCTATGGTCCCTAATCTCGGCGACGGTTCCCAACCTGAAGAACTTCATGAAATCTTTCTCCATTGGGATGGGCCTTCCGGTGGCTTTTGACATTAGCGGCTACGGATCTAGCAACTTATACGCTATGCGGCCATTGAAGAGCAAATCTCAAGCCACGTCATCGGCCGTCGGGGGCATCACCGCCACGTCGTCAGGGTTGATGAGAGACGACGTGGACACAGAGCACCGCGCCCGACCTCAGGCTTGGAGGCCCGATCAACTGGCTCAACGAACTACGGTCATTAACCACACTGATGGTAGGCCCGACGAGGAGGAACGAAGCTCGAGGAATGGCAGTCAAGAGTTGATTATCAACAAGGAAGTGGTCTGGAGGGTCGAATATGATACCCAACGTGCATAGCAAGCATCAACAAGCAGCCTGCAGTGGGGGTGGCATGTGCATCATAACCGAAATTGATAGGAATCTTAGCCGATCTTGGTTTTCTATTCTGGCTCGTGATGAAGCGCCTAGGTGATCTGCCCCAGAGATCAAAGTTTAACATCGTCCGTCGTGCGCACATACTGTGGATATGCTGATTACCAATTCAGGGTTTATGTCCGTGGTTGCAGCCGACTTTTTGGGCGGCTCGCAGGGATTGTCCCCCCGTACCAACCGGAATGCCGGATCGAATCATGAAGCCCCTGGGGCCCCTGACGATGAGCTGATTGCTGGTGGTTCTGGCCATCGAACATCCTTCTTCACGGGACGGAGCGGATCGTCGCCAGATGCGCTTGGCGCTCGCCTCGGCAGTGTTACCTGATAGTCTGGTATGCCGAGCCGTCTCATCTTCCCCTAAGCCTCCCAAAGCTCAGAGCAAGCTGCTACGACATTGTGGAAAGCAGCTTTCTGGCGGGCTTCTCTCCCTCCACGTATCACACACAAAGCCTGGTCCTGCAACACCATGCGCGAGATTGTTTTGCGCGATGCGCGCTACACTGAGCTGGTCGAGATCGCTCATGTCATGGCTACAGCATTTTGGGAAGACAATCTGTTTGGCGAGCTCATCCACCCCCATCGCGACAAACACCCACATGATGTAGATCTTTACTGGCTGAGGCGAGCACGCGTGAACTTCTGGGACTTTCGCTGGAAGTGGCTGGTTGCAACGACCAAAGACGTCAACGGAAAAGAGGTCATCGCCGGCATCGCACAGTGGGCCAGACTAGGAGACGGCGGCCAGAAGATGGATTGCTGGTACTTGGATCCCCGTATGTATATATGTTCTCCGGAAATCTACAATGCTGATGTTCCATCCCAGGCAATGCCCTCAGACCCTTGTCGTCTTTCGCGATGAAGGCTCATGCTTGGTTATGGCCGAGCCGTGCCGTCGATGTCAAGGAAGAAGACATCATCGAGCGGGCGTACCCTTTTTTTGATGATATCTGGACGGGCAAGCGCGCCGAGTCGTGGTATCTTGAAGCACTGGCGGTAAGGCCTGACTTCCAAGGCCAAGGCGTCGGCTACAAGCTGGTGCAATGGGGTCTTCAACGAGCTCGGGAAGAAGGCATCTGCGCGTCAGTTGTGAGCGCCAAGGGGAAGGACGGGTTCTACACCAAGTGTGGCTTCGATGAACAGTACGGCTCAGCCCGGCAGGGCGAAGGAAATCCTTTGGCTGAAGTAGAGGGCGCAAATATGTTCTGGAAGTGGCCATGAGTCCAAGTCAAATTTGCCACCCATTGAAGTGCAATCCGTTCTTGGTGAACCTTTAGGTTGCTCCCAGCGCATTGGGGTCCTTCCGAAATTCTTATTGGCTTGCGAGAAAGAACTGTCTACAATTGATCGTTGTCTGTATCGGAAATCAATCTTATTGGAGGGGGTGAAGATTATCAAACTTTTACATTGCTAGGGCGAAGATGAATCAGCCGATGGGACGACGACGGTGGAGCTGGCGATCGGAAGCTTGGTCGTCTTTTCCGACGCAATGAATTGGCCTTTTCTGAGTGAGAGATGGTAGGAGTTACCAGAGTTGAGCATCATGCCGCCTACGTGCGTCACTCGGCCTTCGCTGGTCCCATTAAAGTGTCCTCGATGTAACCAGGGGGGCACGACGCTGATCGTATTACGCGCGGGCTCATTCTCCGAGCACGACAGTACCTTTCTTTGCTGCTTGTTGTGATGATGTTCCTTAGGCTCGGAGAGCCATCGACCTTCCACACGTCAGCCCTCGCGCCCTTTGCTGTATCTATGGTATGCAGAGTTGGCCACAATGGGTTCAAAACGTCGTTGCAGCCCGCGACGTGGGCTATGGGGTTGGACTTTTGTATGCTCTTTGGATAGGAACCATGCGACCAAATTAACACAAATTTTACCCTTCAACTGCAGTCTACATCCTGGGCACTCTCTCACCGACATTGTCTCGTCATTAGTGGTTGCTGTAACCGCCAGTGGCACCAAGAAAGCTTGATAAATTTCTGTTCTGAGAAGGTTGACTCCGAAGCTCAGGCTGTCTCGATTGAGCGTCTTTGGGGCAGATTTACTGTGTCTCCCAAGATTACATTCAAGATATGGTAATAAACGTTGACCATAGCGATGGTGGTCGTGCAAAATTTGTCAATCAACCTAAGGTCATCATCCACTTGTGGCTCGAAATCATCACCTCGAGTGTGAATAGCACGAGCTTCGGATTACGCCGAAACAGCGTTATCAATTAGATGTCTACTCTGTGCCCGTTGATCTGGCATCCCACCCCGTCAGCCCTGATGAGGTGCTTGCGAGGTTTTCCCACCACAATAGGCTTGCTTTCTCAGTCCACGGCTCATGTCAACTTGGTCCCGGAAGCAGCTAGCTTCACGTAGAAGAGCTTGGTCTGTCCAGTAATGATCATACGACCCTTGCCAGCGAACTGAAAGTTTGCGGCAGTGGTGCCTGTGTAAATCTTGCCAATGAGCTTGCCAGAGGGGTTGAAAACGTGTACACCATCGCCACACCCAGCGTAGACGTTTCCGTTGGAGTCGGTGTGAACACCTTTGATTACATTAGCTTGTGCCTTTGGTCAACTGACAAGATACATACCATCCGGAATGAAAGAGGCGGTGTAAGCAAACGTCTTGCGGTTTTGCCAAGTGCCATCACTGTTTACGTCAAACGAGTAGCTAATCTCGTCAGATATGTGGGCAGGTCTTTTAGCGGTAGGCGACTCACACGGAGGCAGGAGATGAAAGGTTACGGCCGTAGAAGCCAAGAGCGATGCCGGTGTCGGTAACATAGGCACGCTTACCACCCGGGCCGAAGGTGATGCCGTTTGGCAAGGTGAAGTCATCAGCGACGACAGCCACTGCACCGGTATCGAAGTTGTAGCGATAGACCTGATTCCTCAGACCGGGAACAGGACGGAAGTCCTGAAGGTAGCCGTAGAGGGTGTCGGTAAAGTACAGCTCACCATTGCGGGGGTTGATGGCAACATCGTTGAGCGAGTTGAACTGACGTCCGAAGTAGTTGTTCACCAAGACTGTGCCTTGTTAGACATCACGTATGACAAAGAAGACATGCTAGATAACTCACCAGTGGTGTTGTACGGAGCCACCGGATTCATCAGATACAGCGCAGACGCAACGTTGGCGCCTTGCCCTTCGCCGGCAAAGATGATTTGACCCTTGTAGTTGGTTCCTCCATTCGGGTTGATGACCTGAGGGTTGGATGGGACAACCGTAACTTTGACCTCGTCGGTCGTGTTGGCAGACAGGCGTACAGCCTCAGCATCGGCCAGCGAGATCTTCTGAATGATGGATGACTTATTCAGGCCGGTGCCAGCGGCGGGGGCCCCAGCATTTTGAACGAAAAAGACCTCGTCAGTTGGAGGATACCATACGACAGCTTCGTGGAAGATGGGGTCCGACTGAGACGTGGCGATGAGGGTCAAGGACGGGGCATCGCCGATAATATCGTAGAATTCCTCGTCATACACGTGAAACGGTCTGGCAGTAAGCGACTCCTGGGTCACGCCAGGCCAGAGGAACACCTGCGGCGAAAGGTAAGCGGTGCACTCGGGCCTCTAAGGAAATGGAAAGAACCTACCGTCGAGTCGTTGGCTTGCGACGGAGGGGGGACCGAGGGCAGGACATTGAATGTCTTCTGGTCAATGATTTGAGCCGTGGACGGGAGCTTGGCGGCCAGTACGCCCGTATGGGCGAAGAGGCCAGCGGCGAGCACAGAGACAACAGAAGGCATCGTGGGCAAGATGGTCGTCCGTGACAATTGGCTTGCCATGTAAGACCTGCAGGTAGATGGGTTACATTTAAATATGTTGGCCACAAGGTGTGCCCAGCATTCTTCTAGCTCACTTCGGCCTGGTAGAGTGACATCAGTGTAGCTTCGCCTGCACCAAGACATCACATTGAGAACACGGCAGGAAACGACCAGGCTACGACTCATGGGGGGCAATTGGGTTCAGGGCCGACAGGGCTATTGCGTGCTAGGCTGACCCGCTATCGGGCGCAGGCACCTGGAACCGGTCGGAAAGCTCGCTCAGCAGCGTTGGCATGGGCGCAGCGCGGGGGAGTCGGGGTTGAACAGGCAAACATCCGTGGGTCTGTTGGCTGGCTAATCGAGCACGCCACGCATCCCAGCAAATTTGGCCGGCTCAGGGGTTCGGGATGAAGAGGATCGACTGATGGCTGTGGGGAGGGGCATTATACGAGCAGCAAATTTGTGACTACTGTCGCAAATACTGGGCTTCAACTCAATGCGATGGGGCTGCCGCTGGGGTTGATGGAGCAGCTAGGCCGCCTGAAAGGAATGCAGTGCTGCTACATAACAGCGACCAAGCTGCATTGTGGGTGCTCAAAAGTACGTGGCCCACCCATAGTTGCTCGATGAATGTGATCTCGACTCCCACGTGAAGATAATGTGTGCATGTCGCGTGGTACCAAAACAAGCGCCTTCGCATTGGGCCATCAATCCAGGGCTCACGCATGCAGCCCCAAGGGTCAACTTGGTGCAGTAGCCTAAAGAACATGGAACGGGCTATTCTGGATTGCGATGTGGGAGGCAATAGTTTCCTACAACCATGTTCGTCTGATGTGAGGAAGGTATGTCGTTTTCAAGGTCAGGTCGAAATTAGCTGCGTAAACCACTGCCAAGCCCAGCAATATTGCACCCCGAAGGCCGAAGCTGCTTCAATAAGTCAAAGTCAACTGTCGCGTTTCCGTGATAACCGGAACAGGCAGCCTACCTTCATCGTAAGGGAGGCCGCATGAGCAGTTCCTCGGGTCGAGTTACCTATATCACCATGCTCCTAAGCGAGATACAGTCCACTTCCCTCCCCCGGTGCTAGAAATCTGGGAGAAAGAGTTGGCAAGAACAAATACCATTTGACGGCAAATTCCGACCGCAAGAGGGAGACGCTCAGCTATGCGGGGGGTCAGACAAACAACGTGGATTGGAAGTTGAAAGCGACCAAAGTGGGCTATTCAAAGGTGAGGCACAGTCGAGTTGAGGGAGAAGCCAAGTCAGCACACCTGATCACTGATCATAATCATCGTGGGAAGGCTTCGAGGCGCACTTCCTGGCTTGCGGGTTGTCCAGCGGCTGGCTCGTTGCACTTTTTCACGTCAGCGACGGTCGTTCGATGGGGTAGGCAAGAGAGTCGGCACAGAACAAAGCCTGACAGGTTCTCCATGGACGACGAGCGGGAATTGGGCGATCCCTGCCGAGTACAATTGTCGAGCTTAGGCTGCGCCTCCAGGACGGCATGGATGATGCGAGCTGTGGTTTGCTCATCTGCCAAGCTCAGGTTGCCAGGTCCTAGGGTCCGTGAGAAGCTTGGCACATCGTTATTAACCCGAAGCAAGTCTGCTAGTGGTGATGTAGCTTCCGTTTATGTGTGTCTCCTGAGACATCAGGGTTGCGTCAGTGTTGAGTGGAAGCGAATTGCCTGACATGTTGGCGATTTGGTCCTGAAGATGAGGAGGAGGTCGCAGAATTAGTTGATATTTCAGAACGCACTAGCAGGGTGGCAGGGTCAAGTCGACATCAGATCGCTCCATACAGCCTAGGAAACCTGGGGGGCGGGTAAGGTTAAAAGGGGGGCCGGCTGCTTAGCTCAAACTCAAAGACATTATTTACCGGGACAGGTGGGCTCAGCTACCGGCGGCTGGCTGTGGGATACGATGCTAGCCGTCTTGAACACCGGACAATTCTGGCGGCGAGGGTATTAGATGCCGTGACTGGAAGCGGATTTAGTAATCACGAGTATGGTGACATATGCAGCGAAATAGAAGCTTTGGTTTCCCATTTGTCAAGGTCCTCGCACGTTTTTACACGTAGGATGGTAGGATTGTGGGTCAAAATGCCGCACGCATGCTGCACAGGAACCCGCTGGAAACCATTTTTGGTTGATCGAAATTGGTGCAATGACTCGATCCAATTTGTTCTCGGGTAACCTCTGTTGGTTGAAATGTCAGGTAATGTTGTCCCGTATGGCACTGACTCGTTCGTTAGGGCGAGTCCGGGCCATTGACGGAGGAAACTTAAAAGCCGGGCACCATATGGGCGCACGAGCGGGGAACCGGGGGGTGCCGCATCTTTTGAGTGGCGCATGATGCACAACCAGATGGAACGCAGAACGATGTTCCCTTGTGAGGAAGGTCTTCTCAGCGTAGTGTGTCAGTAGAATTGTGTGGGTGGGCGCGTTGGGATGGAGGTGGAAGTTATTTCAGCTACGAATTCTTTAGTGCGAAGGTCAGAGACCCCCTTTTCAACAAGTCAAATTGATGGAACACCCGTTGATTTGGAGGACTCGGAGATTCTGCGTCTTCTGCCGCTCATTCCTTCCTTTCTTTGTTGTTCGACGACTTCCTCCCTTTGACAGGTGCTGTTGCTAGCCAAGCTACTGATACTCCAGAGACATCAGCCAGCATGGTGAACATCGACACTCAGAGCGGCACCGTCGCTTTTATTATTGCGGTATTCATCAGCATCGCGCTGTACAATGTTCTGGAGCTCAACTTCATCATCCTCGCTACGTTCAATAAACGCAGTGGTCTCTACTTTTGGAGCTTCGTCGTAGCAACATGGGGCATCGCATTCAACGCAGTCGGCTACCTCCTCAGGCACTTTGGCAAGAACGTGCAGCCCAATGTGTACGCGACACTGATCCTTATCGGTTGGTGCACCATGATCACCGGTCAGTCGGTTGTGCTGTACTCACGTCTGCACATTGTCATGCTTAACCAGACTCGACTGCGTCTTGTGCTGATCATGATCATCACAAATGCTGTCTGGTTGCATTTACCCATCATTGTGCTCGTCTATGGCTCCAACTCGGCCAACCCTGGACCCTTCGTTCATCCGTACTCAGTGTACGAGAAGATCCAGCTCAGTGTCTTCTTTCTACAAGAAATCATCATCTCGGCACTGTACATTTGGGAAACCACGAAACGTCTCAGGCTAGAGAAGAGCATCGGTAACATGGGAACGCGAAAGGTCATGAACCATCTAATTTACGTCAACCTTCTTGTGGTTTTTCTCGACGTCTCTATTCTCGCCCTCGAGTTTGCGAACCTTTTCGATATCCAAACAGCCTGGAAGCCGCTTGTCTACAGCGCCAAGCTCAAGCTCGAATTTAGTATCCTCAATCGCCTCGTCCAGCTTACACGGAATTCGAGAAACGGAAGCTCCTATACACGCAGTCGGAATGCGACAAACGGTGTCGCCCTTGAAACGTTCAATGGCGAGAGAAATAAGCAGCTGGGCGATGAGGGAGATGCAGCGGCTGAATACGAAGTTCATGTTGGACGGGGCAAGAATGGGGAGCCCAGCTTTGGACAAGACTCCAACGTTATCAAGACGACGGAGATTACAGTTCATAGCCACCGACGGCGGAGAAACAGTGACATGGATATGGAAAGTCTGGATGGCAGGTCCGGAGCGACTGGTGATACAGGTCCAGCACAGACGCGTGACCCAGTTCGAGGCAGTGCCTCATCCGCATCATCGGAGGTACAGTTTGCGAAGTTTGGAAACTGATGCCGCGGAGACCAAGAGTAGCTGATTGACTACACTATCATACCCATTGAAGTTCCTTCATTTATACTGGCCCTTGATACACCCCAGACCGCGTTCTGACAACTGAAACCGTTGTTGCAGCTGACCCCTTTGAGCTTGAGGAAGACAAGCTTCGAAAGTGGTCATGCTCTGAAGCTCTTCCGGCCGCCGGCGGCCTGACCCCGTCCTGAGCAGGCTCGGATGGCGAGACTAGGCCAATGTGGGCACTCACTCCTCTTGATCGCGTAATCTAAGTCAGGCGCTGGACGTAGCTTATGCGTGTCTGCATTGGAACGGATGCTGAAGACTTGCGTTGAATGGCTCAGGAACCCCCTCAAGAATCAACAAGGCTGAACAATGACTTCCGTTCCCAGTCATCAGAAAGGCAATGCGCGCAACCATGTGAAAAGGGACCTGTGTTACATGCAATAGCTCCATCAGCCAGGTACAAGCTGCAACTGCTGGGCTAGCATATTGAGCAAGGCCTACGAGGTGCTGACCCGCCTCTATCCCCACCCTACATGAAACAATCGCAATGTGACGAATGTTGTTGCCTGGGGTAAGCCCAGGGCGTCCCCGGAATCTTCATCTAGCATGGGTCGAATTCGAACAAGGCATCCGATATGCCGGATCAGCAGTAATACGATGTGGTGGAGAATCCTGTATATGATGTCCCACATGTACATCGCCGACACATCTGTGCTTCACAGCCATCGGCCACTGGCTTGGGTGAACCGTTTGTGCAAACGAGGATCTAAACAACCGTCGATAATCAACAGCCGTTTGATTGTTTAGAGATTGATTAATACGACTTGATGGTGTAAAACTGGGGACAGTCAGTGATTTGTGCCCGGCTTGAAGTTTTAATTTGGCTAGTAGGCCAAGCTTGGATCATATTCTTCCTCGACAGGGCTCATGATTGTATGTAACTGAAGAAACAAAGATCGGAATTATGAGGGCTTTATATATGGGGGATCATCTACCTCTATACGTCACAGTGCCACCACCCCCACCTTGCTTGTATGAATTCTTGGTCTTCGTCTGGCGCAAGGGCACCCACCTCGAGCAGCCGGCTGGTGCAAAGTAGTGACCCCACTTCTCCTCAGGCTCCCGCTGCCGGTCCGGCCGGCCGGCAGTTGGCCGGACCGATATCTGTGGCGATAAGACAGATGCCATGATCAAAGTGATGCAAAGATCCAAGCATCCATTTTCTTCTATTCACAAGACTCACACTTCCACCGTCAGTGCACTTCAACATTTCTGTCCTCTACAATCTCCCCGGCCAGATTCATAATTTTACTCACTCAGCCGAAAGAGTCCCAGAAACAGAACAATTCATCTAATTACACCATGAGAACACCACAAGTCAATGCGGCTGGCAGAATCGTTCGCAGGCGAGCGGGCGTGGCATGCGTGCACTGCCGGAAACGGAAGGTCCGATGCGATGTATCTCAACGCGGTGCACCTTGCGCTATCTGCTTTCTTGATGACCTCGACTGTCAAGTTCGTCCTAGAGCAAACAGGAGAAAGTAAGCAAACCTGAAGGATGATGGTCACCCGATTTCATGTTAACAAGAGCAATCTGCAGCCAAGGTCTTTCAAGGGCCGATACTACATCACAGGCTAAGGCACCATCCCCATTTGAGACATGTCATGGTTCACCACGCCATGCACAGTTGTCGACCGCAAACCGAACAGCTTCAGTTCGAGGAGAAAGGCCCGTCGGGCAAGCTTTCAACGAGCAGGACTCCATCAGAAATCGTTGTCTACAGGACAACATCACTGAAGGTGTTGTCAATGTTGGTGCTTCTTCTTCCCACGAGGCAACGGCCGGAGCACACAGTCTAGTGACAGATGGCTGTGCTTCGCGATTGGATCATGAACTAGGTGCCATGTTCTTGCCTTCAGCCAGGCGATGCTCAGACGTCCTTTACACCCATCATTGTTTCTTAAACTTTGAGCATCTTCCGAAGCTCCCTGTACGTGATGTCAATGTGCTCGAAGCACAGGGATGTCTAAGAGTTGCGACTCGCAGCATACTCGACGAGTTCGTTGAGCAGTACTTCCGCCACGTGCACCCATTTCTCCCGATACTTAACGAAGGCGACTTTTGGGGCAAATATTGCAATAGCATTCCCACGGGGGCCTTCAAAGATGGAATATCGCTGCTGCTTCTTCAGGCTATGCTATTTGCGTCTTGTAACGTATGTCGTCAGATACCTTTTTACTGAGTAAGGCTGATGACTGGAAGTTTGTGTCACTGAGTACACTCCGGGCGCTCGGCTATGACTCTGTGCAATCAGCACGAGCTGAATTATACCGGAAGGCTAAGGTAAGATTCGAACTCCCAGCCAAATACGCACGAAAATAACATTGAGAAGCTTTTGTATGACCTAGGGGGTGAGCCGTCCTCGGAAGTCCTTGGCCAGTCCTCGCTTCTCCTATCCTTCTCCTATACGCCAGAGGATCCCCGAAGTCGTCAGTCCAATACCTCATGGCTCAGGCGTGCTATCAATCATGCACGCCTTGCAGCAGCTGATCCTGACGCCTCCGAGAGCGAGGATGAACAACCAGCCATTTTTGAACGCACAAGCCATGGAAACATCCTTAAAAGACTATGGTGGTCTTGCATCATGCGTGACCGCGTAATCGCGCTGGCTCTGCGGAGGCAGGCCCTCATCACAAAAGAGACACTCGATCTCCAGATCTTTCCTGGCTTAGAGACCAAAGATCTTTTGGACGAAGTTCACAAATCAAAGGTATACGATAGCGACACCAAAAATGAGCTCATCGAAGTGACTTGCAGATTGGCAAGCCTTTGTATCATCGTGACCGACCTGCTCAGCCTGATGGCTTCTCAAGAATCCGACAAATCGCTGCGGCCAAGTCACGACCCCGAGAGGGACGCGCAAAGAACACTGCGACTTGAGAAAGACCTACAATCTTGGTACGAGGACACAAGTGAGCGATTCCCTCCCGTATCTGGCATCGGCGCAGAATCCCAGATTGGAGGGTTCCAGGCGAATTGCGTCAGACTCTTCAGCCACACCGTTTATTTATACTATCAGTAAGCTAGAGTTTTGGTCGATTGTATCTCAAAAGCACTCACAAGTCATCGCAGCTCGGCTCTCGCGCTCCTGTGTCAAAATTCTATTGTTCGAGCGATGATGGCGACATCACCACCCAAGAAGCCACCGACTGCAGAAGGATTCCGCAAGCTACAGTATGCCGTCTCCTGCTTTACCGATTGCATGCAGGGCTTGACAGAGATGCGACTGGTTCGCTGGTTACCCATGAGCACGTAAGAGCCCTCTTATTCTTGGTCTTCTTTCCAGCTTTCGACTTTTGATACCAGGCTAAAAGCAGACCTAGAATTGCCTTCAGCGTATTACCGCTGATGATCTACACTGTGAATTCACAAACAGGTAGACATCCCAACTGCGCATGTTCTGAAGCGCTCGGGAGGGACCAGCTGCGCCAGAACAGCCAACTAAGTCTTCTGACTGAAGCCATGAGAACTATAGGTGCTCAGTACGGTGGTATTACCTGGTTTGGCGCTATCGCACGCCGAGCTAGTGAGCTGGCTCAACCATGGGCCCTTGATAAGTTTAGCAGTGACTCGGACGATGGAGTCGCAATACCTCTACCATCCACAGAACCATTCTTACGACTTGTCATTACAGCAGACCTTAGTCTGAGCACAGGCAACTGTCCTGAGAGAGATCAGTTGTCCAAGATTCTTAAATTATCACAGACATCGGAGGAACCTCGAATCGACGAAGGCTTCCGAGGATACTCATACGCCATGAGCATGAATCCAACCGACATCTTGAGTTGGACAGAATTGGACGCCTTTCTTGGTCTTGACTGGGCTACTCCTCTTCCTTCAGAAAATACAGTCATCGATCTGTCCATTCCTGAATTGGGGGACGACACCGAGAATGGAGCTCAGGAGGGTTTGATGGATTCGCCAGATTTGACACCTCTGTCCATTTGGACGGCTGGAGAAAGTACCCTGACGGACCCGCTCAGTGGACGTACATATGTTACAGTTGATATAGATGGCGATTTGACGAGCTGGGAAACAGGGTCTGTCTGTTCTTGACGATTAACATTAACCCCCTCCCGGCACCACCAGCCAGGCTTCGGGAAATTTGGCATCACATAGTTTGTACGTTCTAAGAAGCTTAGTTCCTACCTAAAGGCAGCTTGTAACATAGACTCTTGGTTGATTGGTGCAGATTCCGGCAAAGGACCTTCCCACTTGGCAGCTGGAGGCCGGTCCGGCCGGTCCGGCCCACGGGCTCTCTCGTGTCGCTCGGACCATGCGACTGTAGGTAGCGATTATGACCGCTTCATGTAAGATGAGCTCGAATGTTGTTTCGCTCCTGAAATTGTCATTTTACAGGAATTAACTGGACGGGTTTGTGATTATGCTATAATTATGCCTGTGATTCGTAGCAATTCCCAGTCTTTCTTCAAAACTAATAGGTATGATACCGTCCGATTTCATCAACGACCATGTCCGTCAGATGGTGAAGCGGAAGAAAGTAGCGTTGTCCCCCTTCTCGCGCTCGAGTTCTCGTTGCTCTTCTGTATACTCCTCGGGAGATGCATAGATGCGGTCGCGTCGCGCATTCTCTCGCCGGAGATAGGCTGTCATACAGACGCAAAGGACAAGAGCGACAACATAGAGACCAAGAAGACTGCTGAGCCCCGGTAAGTGCCTCGGGCTATACTTTGGCAGAAACAGATACGACGAGATGATGCCGCTGATGTTACCGAATCCAACATGCATAGCAATACCAATCCCCCTCTTGAGCCCACCACCGATGTTGTTGCCATTCCAAGCTACGCCCTGGGGGACGCTGGGATAGATGCCAGCTGCAGCAAAGAAGCAGCCGACGTATCTCACAGCCACGTTTCTCACAACGGTAAGCATTATGAGACCAATAATTCTGTACATATATCAGCGACATATTGACAAGCACCAAGCCGTGAAAGAAGAGGAACAGAAAAGTACTTACGCAACAAACATAAAGACTATCATAAAGATTCCGCGTTGACCGAGCCTGTCTGCATACCACCCTGCTGAGACGCAGATGATACAGGCTACCACGAATGGCGGGACAGTCATCAGTTGAGCTGTGCGACTTGTGTAACCAAGATCGCGAATGATGGTCGGCAAGAATAGCGAATACGAGTAGACTCCAGTATAGACGCAGATGGTTGTGACGACATGGACCCAAATCTTCCAATCAGACAATGCGTGACGAACGTATCTCATGTCGAACTCGTTCGCAAGTGAGGATCGATCTTGTTGAAGACGTTCTAGTACCACCTTCCGCTCACTTTCGGTAAGGAACTTGGCTTTTTCGGGGTAGTCCTGCATAACCTTAACAGCGACGCACGCTAGTATCCCGTCAGAAAGCACTACTCGGGTAAAAGAAGTGGTGTACTGACCGACGAGAACTGTCACAATGCCCTCGAGGATGAATAGCCAACGCCAACCGGCAAGACCAGCAACACCACCCATTTCTAGAATTCCACGAGCCAAGAGCCCCCCGAAGGCACCAGCGAGCGTGGCAGCTGAGAAAAAGATTGCTAGTCGGAGACCGCACTCGTGACGACGGTACCACATGGTGATGCTATGTTCCAAGAGATTTTCAGTTCGGTTTATGCGAGAGATGCAACCGGCAACACTTACAAGTAAGCAATGCCTGGAAAAAGACCACCCTCAGCAAGACCAAGCACAGCTCGCGCAGCCAGGAGTCCTTCATAGCTCTGTACAATTCCCATTAGGGTACAGACTATGCCCCAGCAGAGCATGATGAATGGGATCCAGAGCCAGGGCGCGAACCTCTTCATTGCGATATTCGAAGGAATTTCGGCAATCACGTAGAAGGGGAAAAAGATTGCCAAGGCATTGTTGTACATGATTCCTGTCATATTGAGGTCGGCTTCAAGTGTGTCGAGTCGAGCATTACCAATATTGGTTCGATCGAGGAAAGATAGCAGGTACAAGAGAGTGAGAAAGGGTAATAGGGTCCAGTCGATCTTTCTCATAAGTTTCTTAGTGTCGACTGCCTCTTCGAGGCTTGAACAACCCGAGGCGTTCCCACCTTGGTCAGAGGACTCAGCAAGCTCCACATTTTGAGTCGATTTGTCCATGTTCGAGGGAACTTTTGGCTGGCGTTGAGGATATTTATTGGTGGGAAACAAATATGTCAGGTACTCAAAAAGTCGCGAGGCACGTTGCTAGAAACTTGTCCGCTCAGCAACTGACAACATAAGGGTTTAAAACTATCATCGGTTCGAACGCCAGGCACGGCGGTCTGAAAACAAAGTTCCCGGACCGGCTGAGACAGGTTGGTGGCTTGACATCATTTGGAGCTTCCAATACTGTTGACCTGCTTCCTCATACGGATTAGCATCCAAGCCGCATGGGCCACCGGGTTCAGCCTCGGACCGGCCGGCTTGGAGTGTCGACCTAGGGACCACTCACTTCGCGGGGTAATCGCTTTCGCTGGTCGGGTACGCAATCTCTCATGATTCCAACAGCCGAATGATCTAGAAGAGATCCGTACGTCTCTTCGCAGCCTGGGCGTGAGGTTGATCGCGCTATCGATTGAGTGGCCCACCCCCAGGTTTATCAGCAGAGCGGAGATCAAACGCGGGGTTTGCAGTCGCCACACCTGCGGAGGACCATATTGCCGGAAGGAGTGGGTTCCCTTCCCAATACCCAATCCATCCGCCACGGACCGACTCATTTTGATATTGTCCTAGAGACAGAAACCTTTGAGCATGGCAAACAGCAGCCGCAGCGAAAGCCCCGGCAGCGTTGCCGGTGCCGCTCCGGGGCCTGCATACCGACCGATACGACGCATCAACCAGGCCTGCATCGCATGCAGGTATGATCTGTCGAGTTGAGAAGAAGTGCGTGCATCTTGCTGACTGGAGACTTCTCTTCCAGAAGGAAGAAGTCTCGGTGCACAGGTGGTCACCCATGCCGAAGCTGTAGACGACTGTCAGAACCGTGCCAATATCCAGGCCCCGGCGTCCCTCGAGTGCGGATATCGTCGCGCCTACCAAACGATCCCTCGTCACAGATTTCCGACACATCAGAACGCCCTGTGAGTCCGTCTCAAGTCCCGGGTTGACTCAGTCAGCTGCTGACGACTTCAGCTCGCTGTCGCCGACAGACTGAGCGTGCTCGAGTCAGCACTGGATGGCATATCTCAGCAGCTTGGCCAGTTGACAGAGCTCACCAGGCAGATATGTGCTTCTGGTGGCGTAGGCTTCTCGGTCGCAAGCGGACCCATCGTCACTGCGGGTGCCATGAGCGAGAGGAGCCTCGATCACTCGTCGCCTGGGTCAGAATTCACGAGGACCATCGCGGCGAGACATGCTGAATATGGCAGTTTTAACGATCCCTTCCACCCGCAGCATTGGACCGTGTAAGAGCAACGTCTCGCCCCTCAGCACAGAGGCTAAACAGTACCAGCAAGATGAAACATCTCATACCCGACAACGTTATGAGGGTAGTCTTTCGGAATTACTTTCAGTACGCACATAACCAGCCGTATTCGTTCTTTCATGAGAGCAAATTCTGGGAAAAGCTTGACGGAGGCAGTTGGCCTGACCACCTGCTCCTCGCCGTGCTCGCCCACGCCCTGCGATTCTCGGAGGATCAATTCTTCAGGGGTCGTACCAAGCAAATGGCTAAACTTTTCGCGAATATGTCATGGAAGGCAATTGTCAATCTCTACTTCCATGAGCGAGGGGACGCAGATCTTGCCACCGTCCAGACAATCACGTTATTGTCCATCTATGACTTTACTGGTACGTTTCCGAATACAGCCTGTATTTCCTTCGGCTGACGCTTTGCTAGCTGGTCATGATCGGCATGACTCGGCCTGGGTGAAAATTGGGCTCGCTGTCCGCATGGCTCAAGACCTCCGCCTCATGATGGATGACCAAACAACCCTCGATAACGCGGAGAAGGAGGAGAGACGGCGCGTATTCTGGTCGGTCTACATGCTGGACAGACTTGCGTCTTGTGCCAGAGCAAGACCGCCAGCGGTTCTTGAGGCGAGCTGTCACCTGTCCCTTCCATGTGAAGAACATCTCTGGAGAGCCGGCTTTCCTTCAAATGGTTACAAGCTCGAGGATGTCACTCAGAACAGGCTCCTGGTTGGCCAGCATCCCGGCCACCCAGCCCTTGTCGTGGCCATGACATCTATCCTCGGCCGATGCACACAATGCATGATGCAGAATGTGAGTGTCCGCCCTCGCCAAGCTCCGTGGGACGGAAGCTCGGACTATGCCACAATATCATCCGAACTACTCACCTGCGAGGGGTACTTTGAGCAACCCATCGAAGAAGCACTCGCACTTTACTGTACTGGCAGCGAGTCTGATATTGATGCTGCTCTGGCCGGACCTCTTGTTTTCTCACATATCCTCTTCATGCTGAGTCATTGCATCTTAAGTCAGCCCTTCCTCTTGTGTGAGCGAGTGAGATCCAGCCTCGGGAAACCCCCGAGCACTTTCTTGTCTCGCGCCTTGGACAATGGATACGACTATGCCAAGAGGATAACGCACTTGATCCGGGATGCGAAGCTAGCTGGTCACGCCGCCCACGGGTCTTTCTACGGGTATTGTACATTGATGGCGAGCACCATACACGCCATAGGTCTCTTCTCTACCCGAGAAACTGTTCGAGAAGAGTCTGCCGCTTGCCTTTCGATCTGCCGCGAGATTCTTGACGACCTATCGCCATACTGGGAGAGCTGCCAGTCAATGGTAGGTTCACGCCTGATAAATTCGAAGACCCGTTTCTGATGGTTTACAGGTTCACGCTCTTAAGAAATTATCAAAACGAGCCCATCGCTACGCTCGACTGAATAATCCTGCCAGCCTTGCCGAGCCCTTGAGACAGGCTGACTGCGACCTGATGTGGTCTATCTTGGATTACAGCACCTGCTCGAGTGCACCCGACGGATTTTGGTCCGCCGAAACTAGACCACCATCTCCTACATCTTGGGCTCCATCGGCAGCTGACATGCATGCCATGCAGCAGGAGGGCTTGGGCCATTTTTTCCCAGCTGTGACAGACCCTGTTCTTGATGGTGAACCTTCACGGGAAGAGATGCAACAAGACACGCTGTTGATGTTAGATTTGCTGGGATAGTTACAAATTATTCAGCCACATCACTTATATTAATGAACTTCATGGCGTTGCATTCCTGCCTAGATCTTTGCTTTGGTTTGTTGACTCCGTTCCCTCTCACGTAACTTGGCTCGTTGCACCTTTCCACTCACAGTTCGCGGGAAGAAGTCCTTGCCCACAAATTCTATCCTGCGAGGATACTTGTAAGGTGCCGCTGTCTCTTTGCAATGGTCTTGAATCTTCTTGGCCAGCGCCTCAAGATGATCATTCTTTGCAGCATCCGTGAGGACGATGAATGCCTTAACAACATCACCTCGTTCCGCACTTGGTGATGCAATCACGATAGACTCTAAAACAGCAGGATGCTCCTGGAGCACTGCCTCGACTTCGGAAGGCCCTAGAGCCTCTATTAGCAAACAGTCTCAGTGTGATGGACTAAAGACTCACCAATTCGGTATCCGGCGGAGTTGATAACATCGTCTGCACGGCCGATGAACCAGAAGTAACCTTCGCCATCACGTTTCGCTCTATCGCCTGTGAGGTACCATTGGCGGGGTTTCCTTCCTTCCTTGGGATGGGCTTCTCGCTGCAGCTTGATACTCGTTGTACCATCAGCTTGGAGATAGCCGTCATAAATACCCTTGAGCGGTACGCCATCTATGTCGTGTGTCGCCACGGCAATATCACCCTCTTCACCGGCGTCACACTCATCGCCATTGTTATCCACGACACACAACTGAGTGCCAGGAGTAGGCAATCCCATGGAACCCAGCTTGACTTTATTCCCCGGAAAGTTGCCACACAGCAATGTTGTTTCGGTTTGACCGTAGCCTATGAGGAGTTCTCATTAGTTGTGCTCCCTGCAGATCAACCTGCCCCAGTTCATAGCTCACCATCTTTGATTTCAATGCCTGTGATGGATGCCCATGTTCTGACGAGCTCGCCCTCAAGCGCCTCTCCGGCCGCTACACAATGTTCCAACTGCAACGGCGGAAGGTCTTGGATCAGTGCTCGGGTTTCCGGCAGCACTAGTCGACGGAAGGCCGTTGGAGGCGCACACAGCGTTGTGATAGGGTACTTGTGCAAGGTTTCTACGAGACCTTGAGGCGAGAAGGCGCCCTGCATCTTTTGTACAAAGAGTGCAGCACCAGTATTCCAGGCCGCAAACCAAGCCCTAACAGGCAAGTCAACGTTGTTAAAAATGAACATGTGAAGTAACCAGACTTACCAAGCTGCCTTGGCCCATCCCTGCTCGGCCAACGACCAGTAAAGCTTGCCAGGACCAAGCAAAAGCCAAGCCTGCCCAGTTGGTACATGACCTAGGGATGTCAGATGAGTACTTGAAGCAGCTCGTGACCCAACAGGGGCTGCGTACCTAAGGGGTAAAGGTGGTTATGGACGACCATCTTTGGTGGACCGGTAGTTCCAGAGGTAAAGAACAGGAATGCGGGATCTGTAGACTTGGTTTGGTCTCCCAAGTATCGGACATCTGGATCATAGGTTCCGATCAACTCATCATACTGCGCTATCCCTGGCACGGGTAGTCCATCGGCTTGCAGTATAGTTCTCATGGAAGCACAATTGTCGCGTACGCGCAGAAACTTCGTAATAGTTTCTGTATCACCGACAAATGCAGCAGCTTTTGAAGCTTGCGCACGAAAAGCCATGTCTTTGTGGGTGGCCAAAGTGGTGCATG